TAGTTCCCGCGCTGTTTGCAATTCTGTTTGGCATCAATCACTCAACCACCAAAAAAGAATCCATTCGCGACCCCAACCTGCAGTCAATCCAGCACAATTGACCTGAATGTCTCGCACCCATTTTGACACCACAAAAACCCGTGTGATACTGTACGTTCAGGGCCTTTACTAACCATCATGATCCATTGTTACAGGGAATAGGTTATTTTTTCACACCCACACAACACAATGCGTTGTTTTCGCCGCTCAGTAGCGCCGTCCTCCACGCTCAAAGCGCTCCGATCCACCTAGGCTGGGCGCCCCTTTACTGGGCACCCTGGCACTGGCCAGTGGCACCGCCACCGTCACAGCGACTGGGACGAGTCGGTGGTCATGGTCATCACGTGTAGCTGAAATGGACACGATGATGTTTGTGCCCACCAACTGTGGAATTGGTAAAATCAGACCAATGTGGACAGAAAACGGACTTGCCTATAGGCTGTTATGACCACTGCAGATGGGGCTTCATAGTGATTCACAGCAATCACGGATATGTATTTTTGAGTGCTTCCCAACAACGTTGTGATGTTGGGCGTTGCTTCTCTTCCTCCATGTCATCTCAATATTTGTTGTTGGATTTTTTCCCCGCCCAGTTTCGATGTTCGGATACATGAGGAATGAAGAGTCCTTGCTTATTTTTGGGGGTTAGGGCATCATCGGGAGCGAAAGACTGATTGCCTGGAGGTTGCAAAACAAGTCCCTTTGTTAGGACTTAAAGGGGCAGCTTCACAGTGTTGTGGTTCCCTCCACAACCAAAACAGATGAGAAATCGTGCTGCGATGGCTTAAAGCCTAAAAAGCCTTGGAGATATGAAGAACTGAACCTTTGGGTATCTTTTGATGCTAGGAACAAGAAGCTTCTAGGGGCTCCTGGCATCGCTACTAGGAGCAAGGACGCTACTAGGGGCTCCTGGCATCGCTACTAGGAACAAGAAGCTTCTAGGGGCAACCGCTAGCATGCTGGCCTTGCGGGGTGAAGACAACTCTCTCAGTGAACCTTGGGCATCAGCGGCAGTGAAGCGTGCTGTTCCTGGCGCTGAGGCTTTGGCTGGAAATGCCATCCATGGCCGCTACCGACGAAAGGTGCAGGAAGTGGCCAGCAGCAGCCAATGAGGGAGCTTTGGTCAGGTCCGAGCATCACAGTGATAGCTGTTTTTTTTAATGAGACACTTTAGGCCCAGGCTGTGAATACTACACTCCCGGAAATACTTTACCCTTAACTTTGGAATGATTTTACCCCTAAAATTGAATCATTCTACCTTTTGCTAGACCTTTTCTTTGTTGCTGTTGCCTTCCCCTCACTTCGCTATATATATATATATGCATACAGTAATTGTTTTCCATGTACTGTACAGATATCACTGAGCTCTTTGGTTTTCGACCAGATGCATTGTCTTTGATGTGCTTGACTTTTATTGACCCATGGCCCATAGCTCTTGGAATGTGCTGTTGTTTGTAGCTTTTCCTGGCAATGAGGGGTATTCAATCTTTATTGCAATCTGGCCCTTGTTACTTGATCCTTACTCACATGTTGCTATCCTCTCCCTGGTGTCATATATTTACCAGACTATAAGTTTTTTGTTTGGGAGGAAAAGTGTTAGAGAGCCATCCTGAACAAGCATGTCAGTTTCGTGAGATGCGAGCCAATTTCAGTTTCTTGTGTTGGCATTCTGAATTGCGCGAAGGATATGTGACGCTCTGTAAAACCCACGAACATGCACAAAGTAATCTGACCGAAAGGCACGAGCGTGAACACAAAAACAATCATGCTGCTGAACTGCACCCACGCAATCTGGAGATGTGAGGAGTATAGAAATGGATGGAGCAGTGAAAGCAAGTGAAGAACGTTTGGACGCTTTTGGTATCTTTTGGTAGCATGGCGATCAATGACGAGTGTCGGCGTCAGGGTTGGGGCGTGGCCTCGCAGCGTGAGGATTCAGGCATAGCCACCACTTGCCTACTGTACTTGTAGGTGCCGGATTAGGCGTCCGGAGATGTCGCGCTTAATCTTTGAGTTGCACCTGCGGCCTTCCAATGTTTGCTGCAAAACATCCATTGATTCCGGCCAGGCTGTTTTTGTCACACCTTTGAAGTGGAAACATCATCCATGATGGGTTGGACCTCGCACGCAGCACACTCAGCTTCATGACAGTGTACATATGCTCTGTGTACGTGAGCCAGTAGTTGTTGCTGCTCTACAGGGCTGCCCAGGCAGCAGCTAAGCACAAACCAGCGTTGACAATTCGGTAGAAGTGGGACGAGACTGGGCTTCAGTCCTGTTTGGATGCCACCCTTTCCAATTTGGAGGCGGTGGTGGCAAAGGAGAGCGGCACAGGTGCTGACAGCATTTTCTTCGCAAGGAAACTGCTCCCATCGATTCTCAGGTCAGCAATGCTTTGATTCTGGCTGTTCTGTGATCACCACCATGTGCACATCTAAGCTGGCCAGCCACCAGCACCATTTTCGGCACCTCAGATGTCAAATCACCAAACACAAGGTGCTCAACAGGATGTACGGGCCTGTTTCCCTGCGTTTCGCAGCTCTTAAGGGGATGGGAGGTTCTGCTGACGCGCCAGGGTCGCCTCCTGTCCGCGTGTTGCTGGTGCGGCATGATTGGTGGTGTCAACGAGGCTTGGCGTCGCTCAGTGCCAGGCGGCTTGCCGCTAGGACCGCTATCCGTAGCTCCACCTATTTGTAGCCCCAAGTCTACTAGAAATCGATGACTGGAACACCGCCCTCAATCAGTGTTTGTCAGTGTGTTTGTCTATATAGGATTCTTGAACCACCCGTCAGTGGTGCTCGTCCCTGCCCTGTCCAAAATTGTTTTGCAGCCCGGCCGAGACCTCGGCCTGACGGCGTTTTGCTCGGGTGCCGCAACAGAAGTGTCATTCTTTATTCTTCGATCTGCAAGACGGCTAGAAAAACCGCAGAGTTCTATATGCCACACATCTGGAATCTAGATAAGGCTTGGAAGGACAACATCAACGTACTATGTCTGCAAGACATGGCATCTTTAGACCAAGGGTTCGGACCCTGGATCTCAGCTACCCTTCTCCAATAGCAACTTTTGGAGCCCCTGACAGTCATGTCTGTGCATGTCTACCTCGTGGCGCCATAGTAACTGTTTCTCCCAACTGCGGTGCCCTCATGAATTTGTGCCGTGGGGTTCTGCCACGGCCCGGCGGCCCAACAGGCGGGAATCGTTTGCGCAGAGTGCGATTTATTTGGGCAACAAGATGCGACAAGTGTAAGCTGCAAGATTTGCCGGTTGTGAGTTGTGATGCTAAGGAGCCTACTTTGTCTCAGCATATGAAACCAACAGGGTCGATCAGGACATCCTCTAGCTGTTAGGGGGTTCTAGTTTCTAGCGTTGCTTTTTCTCCGGTGAGGATGACCTGTTTGGGAGAAGCTGGGTAGCTTGGCTATGATTTCTAATTTATGTGTTTTGTTTGGATTTATGAGCCTGTATGGCTGTCTGCGCGGCTGAAGCAAGAACCCCATGGCAAGTGAGTGACCAGCGGCATACAGTAGAAGTCTGCACTGACGTTTTATCCTATTTGAGACACGGGTTGCCGTTCCCACGCATGCCAAGTTGCTGCTAGCGACGTATTTGCATGAAATGACTAGACCCAAGTTCCCATGGTCCAGGCATTGTGAACGGACCACCGTCAGTCAACGAATCCGTGGCTCACCGGATTGGTCCTCCGAACTTCTCGGACATTTGTGACCACCGACAATTTGAGAGTGGCCTTTCCACTTGAGAAGCGTCCGTCCAGTCCGTCCACCAATCTTCTTACCGGCGAAAATGGTGGGGCGCGGCTAGTAGCGGCCAGGTGAGTGGGTTGCCTTGCAAAACACTATATACAGTAATGCTAAGTCGGCCTGGACAAAGGCTTGTAGAAGTCAGAATTGAAGGGTGTTGATGTGGGTCACACCAACAATCGTCCACAAAGAATCAGCAGAACATGATGTTGGTATCATGAACCTGCATCAATCGCCACCGACTTTATTGGGTGTGGGGTAAGCCTGGGCCGCGAACAAGAGCAGATCTAAGATGATTCAACGAAGCACTGAAGATTGTTTTGCGTATGCATAGCCAGTTGCACATGCCTTGAGATGTGAACGGGTCATATAGACACACAAAGAGGTAGCCCACCTGGACAGCATTTGACGCTACATTTTGCTGATAAAAGTTCCAGCCGAAGATATGGAAGCTATAAAGCTCGAGAACAGCGCCCTTGAAAGATTAAAACCAAAAGACCTTTGAGATGGTGCGTTGGGGAATGCATGGAGAAAAAACATTTTGCACGCAAGAGTTTCATACTTTTTCAAGGTTCAATTACAGGGATGCAGGTGTTCATCAGAAGGCACCCCGTCCCTGCCTGATGTTCTGATAGCAAATGATCACAGAAATGCATGATCTGCCACCATTGAGCCTTCTTGGAATGTCTTTTGCGCCGGATTTTGGCTGGAGGATGTAGACATCCAGGCCCTTCAGCCTCTTAGTGCATAGTATTGCCAAAAATGGACTCATGACCCGTTGAGATGCATCCAAAGATATCCAACGTCACGGACCGTCATGGTGGATCGGATTGCTTTTAACTCATCGACCAGCTCGGATCGATCAGCCTCAGATCAGAGCCAATCCACCGAGATGAGCTTTGAGGTTTGACGTGTCCAGGCGCTACTCGAGGGCGGAGTTCAGAGCCCTTGGATGCATATACAGATACATACAGATACAGTTGATGCATGTTGATGCACTTTAAGCATCTTTAAGGTACTTCATTGACATGTGATTCAATCAGAAGTTTGTCTCCAGAATTTTGGGGGAACATCCATCTTGGACCCCTGCGTTATCGGTGGAAGGGAGACCAATCATCCGGTCCGGGGCAACCGTCCTTGGACGTCCCCGACGTCCGGTACGGTGCCACGGAGGTCCCGGTGCACATCCGGCGCAGGTGGATGGCAGACAAAGTCGCCTTCTCTTTTGGGCCGCTGGTAGGCCAGCGGTCAATGAGTGGGAGTGGCTTCTGGGGGGCTCGACGAGTCGCCGCGATTGGAAGTTCCTCGGTTCTTAACCTCCAGACGTTCCAGATTCCAGCAAGCCTTGCGCCAGAAGCGAAGCTTCGATTCGTTCGAACTCCATCGATGTGCGTTGGTTCTTCGGCCGGGAACGGACCCTCGATGCGTCGTTCGTTCGGCAGGAAACGAAGAGAAGGTCGCGGCACGTGGGACGCCCAGCGCGGGCTCCGACCCTCGACCGGACGAACCTCGGATGTCGGACGGTCGGTGAGTGGGATGAACTAGGATGAACTATCAATCAGGCTTTGGATATGGCAACCGGGTACCAACAGGTAGCAACTTTGAAAATGGACCAGATGGTGCTTTAAAAGGGGGTTAGCATTGCAGGGAAACAATTTGCCAAACAAATACTGTAGGTGGGGTCTTGAATCATGTGTGCACATAGGTTCAAGATAGACTGGAGGAATTCCGCCTCTGTGGGCTACAACCGGAGGTGGAACCACCTCTATCTCTCATGTGCATGTACTTCGTCCACGAAATTCCACGAATGTAGATTGAAGGCCATCGCTTTTAGGTTGGATTCTAAGACCCTTCGAAGTGTTCAACCGTGTTCCTTTCCGGACCAGCGCAGGTGCCCGACGACCGGGCTCCGCACCGCCGGGCTCAAGGCCGCAGATTTGGAGTGGTTAGGTTAGGTTGACTGGGTTGATCTTGCTTTTGGATGCTTTTGGAGAGATGTGTGGAAGATTCATCAACCAGAGGTGTTCAATTATGTTCAATTTGATCTTGAGATATAGATGAATCTAGTCCAAGCATGGGAAAGCTGGGTGAGACTCTTTTCACTCAAGCTCTTTCACAAGTTGTTTGTTGTTTATTGGGCGTTTGGCCCAATAAACCAACAAGACTTCTACGAAAACAGTTACAAAATCATCTCACCACCAAAGACAGACTCTACCGAGAGGGTCTGAGTGCTTCAGGTTAGTGGAACATGGGTGGGCCAGAGTGAATGGAGAGACAAGCACTAACACTACTGTTAGCCACACGGCTTGTTCAATTTGCATGGTTGTTTTGCTCAATGCAGTCGCTCTTGTGCGCTACGAAAGCTGTGAATCGACCATGGTAGGCAACAATGACAAGGTGCATTTGGTGAATGTTGAGGGGCATGTTTCATTGGAACCGAGCTCTATCGGTGGGCCGTCGTGTGTCAGTCGTGTTTTGGCAGGCCACCGCTGGAGATCCCCACCAGATGGCAGCTCATCAGATGGACGGCTTCAGCGGGGGAGGTGGAGATATCCAACGGCTTCGGGCAGCAGTTGAGCGGGAAGTCCGTGTTCCAAGGCTCGTTGGCTTTGCTTTAGACTTAGGAAATCTGAAGAATCTTCATCTCACATTCAAGTAAGTGTTTTTGGAGGCTTTCGAAACTTTCGACTATCGAATCTGTTTGTTGGGGTGATCAGCACGTTCCCATTGGATTTCTTCCAAGACCATGTTTGACAGCAAGTAAGTTGGATATATAACTATAATGTTGGAGGTTGAGCATAGTTCCGAAATTAGGATCTCCGACATGGCCTTGTTGTGCAGCGGGCGTTTTGTTGCGTGTAGTGTACCTTGAGAACGACTCTGTGATATCGCCCAACCAAGGAGAAATTGTCCCGGAACTGCAAGTTTAAGTGTGGGAGGCGATCAGTTGCCCTAGAAGGAGGGTTTAGGTGTGGGCGTAGGTTCCCTACATGTTTCCCTGGTTGTGAACACTTTCGGCTGGGCACGACCTGTGGCGGCAAACACTTGGGCATTGGCTTTTGCAAAGAAGGTCTTTGAACTTGACAGGTCAGAAGCTAAGGGACTACATATGGCTACATATCTAATATATATATATATATTGTATTTCATGTAATATACTTACCACATACTTCTAGCAACACCCCCAAACCAAGCTCAACAGCAAGCTTTCCGTTTGGGGCTCCGAAAAGCGGGGGCTCAGCGCTTCGGTCGAACCACCGAGGCGCGGGACGCCGCGTGTGTCGGGTGGCCGATCAGGGCGGGGGGGGGGGGGGGGGGGGGAATCGATGAGGAGACGAGGAATGAACAGATCTGTACTGGACTTCTACTGGAATTTTACGGTACTTCTTTCTATTGTATGGAAAGAGCTGTGGCTGATTGCGGCTGTCACTTCTACTTCTACTTCTGCTTGAGGACATGTATGATGTGCAGTCCACATCTGGAAGTGGAAGGCGTTGACAATACGCTCTACATCCAAGGGTGTCCGTGTTAGTATGAACATGCCTTGGTGGAAGCATTCGCGAGCATTGTTGTCACCAGTGCTGCTGATGATAGAGTTTATTAGAGTTTGATAGAAAGATTTTAAAGGCTGTTACGTTTTCACTGTTGATTCCAAGGACAAGGCAACAAGGCAACCAAGATTGAATGTTGATGCAGAAACTCCATGTCCATGCCAGACATCGATATCAATACACATCAACACAAGTAGGAATCGATTGACTCTTTGGCTCCCAAGTAGTGCAGGGGTGTCGTTCATGGGCGTGCGCATGAGGCCACGGACTTTCGAGTCACTGCTGCGATCCGGAGAGAGTAAAAAGCTCCTAGGCCCGGAGCTTGGAGGGCGCACCTCTCCAAGTAGTACTACCTCATACCCTAAGCGATCGCAAAGATTCACAAAGTTTGCAGATCAACGATGGTCAACATCTTGTTGAGTGAGATGGGTTCATAGTGACTAATTAGAGTGATAGGACACCCCCTTGGATCCCCAATAATTCAATTTCTAGAAGTCGAAACAGGAGCATTCCGAATCCTCATCAATAAACATCGTCAAACTGCATTCCAAATTGCAATTGTCCAATCACTACACCGAATGACATTTGTCGACTCTCTCCTTCACAAAAAAATCGCCTCAAAGGTTTGCGAAAGAGCGGGGTTTGTGGGAGGATGAATCCAGAGGAGTGCCAATACTCTTCGGGTGTGGTTTTTTATATTGGATCTGGAGAAGGCAAAGGCTCACAAAATATGTGAGATGGATCGATCGAGCCCTGCAAGAGGATTGAGCCATGTTGATACAGGGTCAGTGTGATTTGATTTGATCCTAATCCATACCCAGATTTCGTTCATATGGAGCCAATAGAATCCAAAGGAATCAACATCAAGTTCATATGCGGCAAATATAGAGATGGTGGGGGGGAACCAGGCCCGCTCCTATCTTCCAAAGATCATGTCCTTTTATCATTTGTTATGTCCTTTTGCGTTCGATACGTTCCTTGATACCCAATCCTTCCAAGTGCTACACGCTCCGCACCGGGCCACACGCCACGCGGGCTCCGCGGGGCACCCTTCGGGAGGCCCTAAGCACAACGGCTTCCTTGAAAAGGTGCAGCAAGCTGTGGAGCAGGACGCGTGAGCTTTAGCCTCCTCAGCTTTAGATTTCATTGATCCAAGTTGGGGGGGGGCATGCCAGGCTGAAGCACGTCCAACGAAAAGAAGCACATAGGTAGATAAAGTAATAGGCTGAGGGCCAACAAGTGCTTGACACACGTCCCAGATGGTCAAGAAACCGGGGGGTTGTTGAATACAGGATTTCGGGATCCGGAATATATAATTTGATCGTAATCCCCTGTTAGTTTGGAGACTCCAAATGAAGTGGTGACCCTCAGTCTTGGGCCCTCAATGCATTTGTTTTGAATTACTGTAAAACGATGGAGTGGATGATGAGTAGTGTAGTGAGGCAGTTCCTCGTCGCTGCGGTCAAATCGGTAGCAGGAATGCGCAGTAGTTATAGTGGGGCCTCCAAATGTTGAATTTGGCGTTCCCATAAGGGCATCCACAGTGGTGCAGGGAGCATTGGAAAGCTCGTCCGCACCCATCTCGCCGCACCATAATTGCTAAAGAGTGCCAACAAAAAGGGACGAAGAGCCAAGAAGCCAATGAAACACGAGAGTGAAGCCACGAAAGCTCCTGCAACGCTGGTGCTCGAATGTGCATCCATTTTGAGACACACCCATCTACGTGCATTTGCATCGACTCAGTGATACCGGATGCACGGCGTTCCCAAGCGGCCAGGAGCAGAAGATGCGCAAAGAGGACCGACGACCAGTAGCATTTGGCTGCTCACAGAAGCGGACCAACTGTCAACTGTGTGGAAGTTGGAAGGGGGTAGGAACACGACCCCTGAAATGCGCCTAAGCACCCTCAAAATGGCACCCCATGTTTGGCAGCAGAGCCCTTCTCCATCTTGGAATGTCACAGGCTGCAGGTTCCAACGAGAGTATATAGATGAGAGCTTGAACGTGCCAACTTTGGAAGCTTAGCCTAGTATGCAATCAGGGATCCTTGAACTTTATGCCTTTCAAAGATCCCTGATTGCATAGAAAGTATGCAAAGTACAATCAGGTCCTTGAACTTTGGCGGAAGTGAAGCCAGAGGTTTTGGTCAGAAGTACTTCGAAACATCGAATCAAGGAAAAAATATGTGAAAAAACAAAACCGCCGGGGGTCTCAGAGCGGGTAGCATCCTCCGGCAGTCTTTGGCTGTGTTGATCTCAAGGACCCTGAAGAGTTTGAATCTCAAAGACCTTGATCTCAATGACCCGGATCTGAAATACCCGATCCGGTAATCTATAGTAAAATGGGGTGGCATTATTCAATCTTTCGGCATTATTTAACGGGTATATCTGAAGAGTTGGTCTCAAGATATCTCAAGGACCTTACTGTAAAATAAACAGAGCTGACCCGGATGCATCCCAGCAGCTCCAATGATCCCCCCACTTTCGCCCTCTCGGTACCTGAGTGACTCAGGTGACTGAGTCGGGTGTGTTTGCTAGAGGTGTCGCAGGAGAGAATCATCTAAGTGGCTGAGAGCGAAAGCACCATCTTCACAAGCTCTGAGAATGAGGATGAGCCGGGAAAAGAACTGCATTATTATTATGATATGTCTTGTTCATCGTGTGTGAGATGTTCCGCAACCCTCTTGGCAGTCAACTCTCCCTTCCATGGCAGACAAGCTCTCCCCCTTTCACGCTTGCGCTAGGACACTGAGAAGGCCTCAGATGGGCTCTACAAGCGGAAGCTCAACGAGGAGATCGAAAGCCGATGGAAGAGATCCGCGCAACGGCCAAAGAACCCTAAACCGTCAGGTGAGCAGTGGCCAAAATCTCCATTCTAATCTACTGGTATGGGCAAGGCGCTGTGTTGGAGCAGGGTGCACTGTCCTCCAGTGCGTTTGCAATCAAAAAAGATGCTTAATTATGATGCTCTACATTGCTCTACAAGGTTTTAGCCATAGCTGAGGCTGGCATCACTTCTTAGCTGACGCCGAACTGGTATTACTTCTTTGATGCTGAAGATCTGCGTTCGCCACGGACCGTTCGGATTTCCCTCCCATGCAGCCATTGGGCCAAAGGATTCATCGTCTTGTTGAAAAAAAAAACACATGGTTTGGAAGGAGAGATAGGTAGAGGCCAAAAATAGTTGCAAAGTGACCATGATTAAACTTAAGTTAAAGCCTCTATGGAGAACCCCCTAGGAAACTATAGTTTTAAATGGCAGTTGCAAAAGGGGTCCTATTTCACCTTTAGGAGGAGTGTTTTCGCCTTTGGAGTTGCATCCGGTTCCTGGCAGACGCCATGCTGTGTGTATCGCTTGTGCTCCTACAAATATGGTTGGTGCACTGCTGCAATTCTGGAGTCGAGCTCTCTTCGAACAACCTGTTATGCAAGAAACGCCTTGCATACCCGTGCGATGCCAACAATGATGAAGTGGAAGGGTGTTGTTGTGAGAATGGCTACCAATGGAATGCCACCGGATATTGTGAAGAATGCTCCTTTTCCATCAACTGGGGTTGCACAGCAGCCATGGTGGTGGCATCAGGCGCTGGAATTGCTGCGGCGCCTGCACTCTTGGCACTGGCAGGGTTCACCAGTGCTGGCATTTCTGCAGGGTCATTAGCGGCACTGTGGCAAGCGAACATGGCAGGGATCGCGAGTGGGAGCCTTTTCTCTACTTTGCAAAGCATCTCCATGGCTGGTCTGGGTTGGGGTGGCACTGTTTCAGTTGGAGGCACTGTTGGAGCATAGCTGCTATGCCTCCCTGAGTTGTTTGGTCCAGCTTTAAAGCACTTAGGACGTCACAACCCATTTAGATCCTTAGGACGTCAGGAGCCTAGAGCAGGAGGGTCAAGCCTTAACTTAGCAGTGGTATACAAATATGTAACTCTCTCATGCCATATCAGTTGTGAGAAGGGTTGTAGAAGATGGAGTAGGGCTATTCAACTAGTCCGGTCCTTTTGTCAACTAGCCCTACTCCATGTGAAGGTGAGTAGGAGGGTGGCCACACAAACTCTAAAAACTGACTTCTTGACATCCTGGAGGTTGTAGGTAGGCAGTGTCCGGCACTGGGCACACAAAGCTACCTCATAGAAGATGAGGTCCATGGGTCCGAACCTGAGAGGTCCATGGAAGTTAGTAGCATGAAATGCGAACATCTCAGTTTTGAGGATGAAAAAAGAAAACACTCATATCACAACATCAAGCTCGGCAACTGCCTATCTCGGATCATTTGAAGCTTTGGCAGAGGCAGTGCCGGTGCTGCGGCCATGGGCTTCTGCAAAGCAGTGGAGTCCCTATGGCCTGGGGTCGCTGGTGCCACTCCGCCAAGTGAGCTAGAGATGTTCTTGGATCGCCATTGGCTTGGGGAGGTGATGGAAACATGATGAAAGAACTGCCCAGGATGTTTTGTTGCAATCTCAATGGTTTTTCATTGTTTTTCTAATTATCTAAACCCTGCGAGTTGCGGAAAAGTGGAAAGTCTAAAGGGGTTTTCTGATCGTCTATATATATATATATGTCTTTTGGAATTCGGGGATTGCACAGCAGGGTCCTGTACGTGGCGCAGCGCTCTAGGTCCGAATGGCAGGCTGTGCTACCTTTCCCGGCAGATAGTGGTCATCCATGGTCGTCATCATGGAAAACGCACCCGAAAACGAACTGAAGAAAACCGTATTCCAGATTTTCCCGGGGTGCATCCGAGATCAAACTCTTGTCACCTGCAGGTGAGCCGGGCCATTATCGATGCAAGTGGCGCCAGTTGCTTGGAGGATTTGCAGCACCTGGACGCTGAAGGGGTCAACCAGCTGGTGCGGGATGCCAAGCTGAAACCGGTCATGGCCAGCAAGCTCCGAAACCTGGAAGTGAAAACACCCCGGCAAACGGAACAACCCTGTGGTTTCGACCATTTGCCGCAAACCAACTCAATTGGTTTGGGGGGGTCCATGTTAATCTGAAGAAGGGAATTTTACATTTTGATGTTGTTATATATACTTTGTGCTATGACATGTTATAACTATGTGCTCTAGACTCTAAACTCTTCGAAGATACATTGTTTCGGTCCTGGACCCAGCCAATCCAAGGAAAAGCTTTGAAAAAGCTGAAGACGGAGCTTTAGCAACCGATGCTGAAGACGGGATCTCTTTTTCCACCCAGCTGTCGCATGGGCCATTTTTGGTTGCAAACGGAAAGCGGACCAGTGCCCGTGAGGCAAAGTGGCCCGGTGAAGCCCTCCACAATCCGGTTGTTCTAAATGTTATAATCAAATGAATGGATCCACAACTAAACCAGTGGCTGTGTGGGAGGTATCATAGGAGAACTGGGTTATTGTTGATGGAATTGATCCAAATCTACAGAGATCATTTTGGTTCTAGGTTGATAGATGTCCGAGATACATTCAGATACATTCGGCACCGTTTGAAACACACTGAACCGCGGGTCACCACTCAGAGGCCGGTGAGTGTTAGCAATGAATAGCCATCCATCATTTCAGAGGGGCGCAGTTTCCCCGCTTGTCCAGAAGCAACCGAGATGTCAATGTGTTTCCAGACGGTATCAAAGCACGCCTTAAGTCACTGCCACTGCCATGGGAATGCCTCAGATATAGGAAATAGAAATAGATAGATAGCTAGAAATAGCATGATGAAGTCCTTTGAACATTGTGCTTGAAACAGAACCCGTTGCCGCGATGCTTGGCGATGGGCTCAGCACAAAGGGGCTTGGCGATGGTCTCGTTTCATGACGCGTTGTGTAGTTCCAAGATGTTTGTGCTCCAGCAGATGTCTTTCGAGTGCAGTGCACAGATAAACGGCATAGAAAGGGGCGTTCGGACATTCATGAGATCTCATGAGGTATCCAGATTCTATGTACTTGTGACTTCATCTAGCACCACTAGCTCTGAGCCTGCCATGGAGAGCGACAAGAAGTCTGAGATCTCCGACAGGCCGGTTGTACATTGAACCAAGTAGAGAGTTTCATTTGCCAGGCGGGCCATTTCTTGGCCTATAAGCACCCTATAGCTAGAAGGAGGTGTAATCAAAGCGGTTTTTTAAATGTTGAGTGCAAGAAACACAAAGCTCCCGGAGAGCTGCTCGCCCGTGTTCAATTACAGCATGTTTATGACAAGATGGGAAGGCCTGTGCCAAAAAAATGGGTTTTGAGGAGGACTGGCAGTAGGTTTCGATGAGGTTTGAAATGCCACACATGGAATTCCAGTGAGATCCGCTAGGAAAAAATGTTGATACAGAAAGGACATGTTGATTGCTGGCTCGGAAGCCCTACAGCCCTTTCAAAATGTTTGATCAAGTTGCGTTCCCTGTGTCAAGGATGTTGTGATGTCATGCAACCGACCAGAAAGGAATAGCTATACTAAACATTAGCTGAACACTCGGCCACTTGGCGTTGTTCATGAGTACAAGACAGGCCAGTGATCACGACGCAAAGGGGGAAACACCTGGAGTGCTTTTCCTTCTGAAGAAGGCTTTGAAGGCCTGGAACCTGTCCCTGGAACCGCTTGCTGGTAAGCAGAAGGTCGGGTAAACACTCATTTTGTCCGTGTTTTTCCCACCATTTTTCCGCCAGGCTACATCCAACTCCTCCAGCGCAGCACCTCGGTACAGCAGTGGCTGGCTGGCCATCGGCATCGGCTCCGGCGAAGCCGCGGCGAGACCGCCGAAACGATATTGGTCGGTAAGTGGGTTGACTATTGACCTTGGCATATTGGTGGCTTGGAATGTACCACCCCACTCAGGGTAACGGTGTTGATACACGTCAAATTCAACAGGAAAGCACATGCTTCAGACTTAACATGATGATTCCTAGTCACAGTCAAGCCATGACAAACCGTTGCTGAGGCAACAGCCAAATGTGAGGCTGGAAAGCAACGAAGAGGATGTTCACAACTACTCTATATATAATATATATAGTTGCGTTTGCCTTTTGGAAAGGTTTACTTTGGGCATTTGTGCACACTATCAATATTCTGCAAGGAATTCGGTGCAGCTTCAGAGTTGTGAGAACAGCGACAGCTTGCTTGGCATGCATCTCCTGTGTTTTGATTGACGTCTTGTCAGAGGCGGCCTGCGCCTCATGTTAGACCACATGATCAGGACATCGGGTTCATCCACAAACTTGGATATATAAAGTAATTTGTTGCAATCTGTTACATCAGTGCATGCATAGTGGCTAGAGACGTGTGCCGGGAAACACTGGGACACAGGGAAAGCACGCACTGAGAGGAACAACAAGCAGGGCGTAGGCATTCTGGAAAAGGTTGTTAGGCAAAAGACGTGCTCCATTTTCACAATCTTGCTTTATCAAAACCGGGGCAGTACCAGGATTGCGTATCAACTCAGCCGTGCTTCCAGGGAGACAGAGAGAGAGAGAGAGATGCCATGCAGCATCATTAGATTTGTTAGACTGTGTTTTGATGTATGTTTGCCCTTTGCTGCTTCGCGCACAGGACCAAAAAAGTGGGTCCGCGCAAGATGTGGCCAGACAGCAGATGGCCGGGCAGAGGGCAGATTCGGGCAGGTAGTGAGATAGACAGGTTTAAGCTTGCAGCTTCCTGAGTGCTTTCCTCATTTTTGTACATAATTCGGGGGCGTCCCATTACCTGCAACAGTCAGCAAACAATTATCACTTTTTAGAGACCATCGTGATCCACTGTGAATTACAGGGAATGGGGTATACCCAATACATCATCACGAAGTGTCTCGCAGGATAACCGTTTTTTCTGACAAAGACCATGCTTTCTGGAGTCTTTCGAGCTTCGGTAGCAGATGGTGGAGAGTCGATGTTTCCGCCAAGGGCACCATACGTGTGTACGCGACGCCACGGAAGCAAGCAATGCATCAAGAACATGTCGGACAATCAACAAAAGAATGTATCTAGTAGCTGGGGAACACTTTGGCCCGAAGAACGGCAGAGAGAGAGAGAGAAAGAGAGAGAGACTTAGTGTTGAATCACCTTCAAAAGCAAGCTTCTTCGACACCACGAAAACTTCTCATTCATCAAATCTATCGCTTGAACCCATTAGCAACACACATAGTGAGAGGTGCACTGCACGGGCTGACAGAGCTTCTCAGAGCAATTCGTCCAACGCTTCGGAAGGAAGAAGCTGTAGAAGTCAAGTCAAGAATCCTGATTACGATGCCTGTTTCCTTACCTTGGTACGGCAATTGTGTCGGCATAGGCTGTTGCTTGAGTACCGGTAGCAGGCAGCTGTTTCTCAACATCTGATATGTGACCGGTCACTGAGAGAGAGAGAGAAGGGCTCCATAGAGCACCTTCGTACGATACGAGCAAACCATGGTCTGTGGGGATGCCATGGGGTGCCATTCTCAGGGGGCATGTTTGTTGTCGATCGTGTACCAGTATCCTGGCAGTCCTGACCTTGACAGAAGGTCAGCCCTCTCCACACGCCGTGGCGCAAAGAAACACCACAGCGTCGCGCGGACACCACAGCTCGTGGCCAAGGAAAGGAGGTGCCGAGTGGAGGCGATGTTCAATGCCAAGCTGAGAGGTTCAGAGGTTTTAGATCGACAGAGTTTCTTGGAAGCGAATCTGTTTAGCGATGTTTAATGGGCAAATCGACAGGGAGGAGGTTTTGTGTTAAACACGTATGCGTACGTTTTGAGATGTTATCTTGTTGAAGGGAAGGGGGGTGGATCGGGACTAAAGGGGCAAGGAGCCGGCAATGCTGTTCTTTTTGTTTGATGTATATGTGTTAATGTCAGGAAAGGCAAGCAGACACGGTGCTGCAGAGCTTGTTCTCAACGTGTTCTTTTGAGAGACTACGGCTGCCATTGAATAAGATCAATTACATCTAAGCACTTGGCCAACCGGATGTGAATTCCCAAGGCTACATCGAATTGATGAAGTTCCTTGGGTTCCCATTGAATGAGGCCCATGTCTTGCTGGAGGAGAATTGACAAGCAGAGTGTGGGAAGGTGTGGGAGCCCCCTTTGGAAGCGTGCTTGGGGTGCCTATCGAAGAAGTTGGGCAGCACCCAACTGCAATATACTGTGCACACAGTAATATATATATATATGCAATTAGCTATGCAAATATATGCAAGCATCAATAATACATAAGTGAATCCTGAATATATAATATATACAAAAATCCTGCGTCCTACTAGTCCTATACTTTCGAGCATGTGAAAGGGCTCAGCCTGATCCGTCCGAAAACCACATGTGAGTCCGTCGCTTGCTGTTCGTCTCCGACTCTTGGAGACCCGTCGCTCCACACCGCCTCGGCACGTGCGTTCGGATCCGAGGAGTACCCAGAAGGCTCGTGGATACGTCGCTTGGCAGGGCCGATCGGGCCATTTGTGGGCTTATGCGGGGCTCTGTGGTTTCCAGTTTCCAGGGGCAGACATTTATTTGAGCAATTTTTGCCTCAGATTCAAGCAGCAAGCTGCCAGGGTAGCACTCAGCAGTTTTGAGGTGTGAAAGACTTCTTGGACCTCGTCTTCGCCTCACCTAAGGTGCACCAGCCTCGGACGAAACGGGTGGTGGTGTTCAGTGGTGTGCTTGGAAAGCAGATGGAAACCGAACGCCCTTAGGGAAAAGGAAGCAAGCCCAGCCTGGCCTACTTTCGGGTTAAAGGGGTGCCATCGGTTGTTTTCGAGATGCAGCAGACACCACAGTGGCGTTGTGAACTGCGTCTTTGATAGGTAGTTGATAGGTATGGAAGACCCTTCTTAATCATCACTGATACACATGACACTGGCATTGTCCTCCTATGCAGCTATGCATCAGCCTGCTTTCGATACACCGAAGGCAGGACTATTGACAGGATGTGCAAAACACACAGGCGCCGCCACCCACAATGTGATTTGATCAAACCAAATCAACAGGTTCATAGCACAAGCATCAGTTTGGGGAGCTGGGATTCTGTCATTTCCCACCGAAACCAATGGAGCTCAATCAATGGCACGACGGAATTTTATAATCCCCGATGGAATATCCCCTATAAAATGGACGTACTCGAGTACAAAACCCCATGTCATTTTATAGGGAGGCTTGCTATAAAATGATGTGTCAACCTGGTAGCTTGTGGCCAGAATTATGTGGGCCGCCATATAGATAGAGGTCTGCCTGTTTTGACATTTGA